AGAGAGAGAGAAAAGAAAGAGAGAGAGAGAAAGAAAGAAAGAAAGAAAGAAAGAAAGAAAGAAAGAAAGAAAGAAAGAAAGAAAAGAAAAAAATTAAGAAGAAAAACTTTAAGGAAGAAAGGCCAGGAAGGTGACCCTAGGGCATTAATGAACTTGTAGAAGAAATTATTCTCAAATGTTCTGACTCTCCTTTTATCCATTATTCACAAATAAAACTGAAAAATTCCATTTTACATATTCTTTCAAATTTCTAAGTGTCAATAACATCATTTTCACATTGCTAAGCAAATGTGTGTTTACAGCTTAAACAGGAAAAATGCTTCTCCTCCTCCTCTTTTTGTTGTTTTGAACAAAAAAAGCTGTAGCCCTGGCTAGCTTACAGCTTGCTATGTAGACCAAAATGACCTTAAAATCAAAGAAAGTCTCTTGTCTGCCTTCTGAGGTTAAAGGCATGCACCCTCATGACTAGTATGAAAAATTTCAATTCAATAACAGTACAAACTAAAAGTTTCAAGCTAACTGTCTTATAAAAACTGTTTAGTTGGGATGATGTTATCATTTACTTTTAAATAAGGACACTTGAGAAAAGAGGTGCTATAAATGAATTATATCAGGACAACAAACTTATGTATCAATGCATCATCAAATTATAGACCACAGGACTACCAGGACTACTCTGTGCCTATACCTCCTGGTTTGGAAATTGGGTCTCCCCCTACAAAGCCCAGGTTGGCCATGAACTTGTGATCATCCTGCCCTACCTACCAAGTGATAGAATTATGCAAGTATGCCAGTATGCTCAGATTAAATACTCTTTTTAAAAATAATCTTTGTGGGGGCTAAAGAGATGGCTCAGCACTTAAGAACACTGGCTGTTCTTGCAGAAGACCGGGGTTCGAATCCCAGCACCCACATGGCAGCTAACAACTGTCCATAACTCCAATTCCAGGGTATCCGGCAGCCTCTTCTGTCCTCCTTGGGCATTGCATAACATGGGTGAACTTACCTACATGCAGGCAATACACACATACACATAAAAATAATAAAACATTTTTAAAAAATCTTTGTAGAGCTGGGCATGGTGGCACATGCCTTTAGCCCTAGCACTGGGGGTGGGGGGTTGAGGGGGAGGCAGGTGATCTGTGAGTTCCAGGTCAGCCTGGTCAACATAGTGAACCCCAGGCCAGCTGGGACCACAGGCAGATCCTGTCTCAAAAAGGCAAAAAACAAACAAACAAAAAACAACAAAAAACACCTGTGTAAAATGTACTTATATTCTGACCTATCAATAAATAATGAGCATAACTGCATTTTAGAATTAACTCTGTATTTAGGAACTGTTCCAAATATGGTAAATATCCCTAATGTAAGAGAAACTGGGCTGCAAAGATAATGGCATAAAATTGTATTGGTCACAGTAATATAGCCTGAAACTGGATTTACTTTTTAGTTGTTTCAATAAAAAACAGAGGCTTAGTTATTAAGAGTTTGCCTTGCACACAAGAGGACCTGAGTTCAGATCCTCAGAGCACACATACAAAGCAACGTACTCAGTATGCCTATGATCTCAAGTAATGGTGAGATATAAACAAGCAGATCCCTGGAAGCTTGTAGGTCAAGTATACTGGCCTATGTAGCAAAGTTCCAGGCCAATGACCAAATAAGTATCACACAAAAAGGAGAACCCTGATAATCCTCACTCAAAGCTGTCCCCTGATCTCGATACATGTTACCCATACAAGCACATGTATGTACAAACATACAGAGAAGCACATTTATGTACCCATACATATAAATACTAAGTTTTCATGTTGCCAGATTTAAAATTTACATAGGGGCTAGAGTGATGGCTGATTGGCTATTCTTGCAGAGGACATGGGATCAGTTCCCAGCACCTACATGGCAGCTTACAACCATTCATAACGCTAGCTCCAGAGAACTCAATGGGTTCACTTAAATACATGCAGGCAAAACATTGATGGGCACATGCACACACAAAAAATAATTACATAGTTTTAAAAAATTATTTATATACATAAATTAAGAAACTGACAAATGCCAGGCATGGTGGCCCAAGTCTTTACTCTTAGCACTCAGGAGGCAGAAACAGACAGTTTTGTGTGTTTTCAAGATCAGCCGGGGCTACACAGTCAAAACTCTGTCCCCAAAAGAACTGAAAACACAAAAAGTCACATAAAATCTTTTTAAATAGGGTCTGGAAAGATGGCTCATCAGTTAAGAACAGTAACTGATCTGGCAGAGAGGACCCAAGTTCTGTTCCCAGCAGCAACATTCGGTGCTTACAACCACCTGTAACTGCAGCTCCAGGGCATCTGACATTATCTTCTGGCCTCCATAGGCACCTGCACTCAAGTACACAGACAGACAGAATAGGGTCTGGAAAGATGGCTCATCAGTTAAGAACAGTAACTGATCTGGCAGAGAGGACCCAAGTTCTGTTCCCAGCAGCAACATTCGGTGCTTACAACCACCTGTAACTGCAGCTCCAGGGCATCTGACATTATCTTCTGGCCTCCATAGGCACCTGCACTCAAGTACACAGACAGACAGACAGACAGACAGACAGACAGACACACACACACACACACACACACACACAGGCTATTTAAATAATGAAATGGAATCACACCTCATACAGGAAATACAACACAATAGTTAAGACTCAGAACAACTAGATTTGAATTAAGGATGTACTGTGACTATATGAAAGCTATTTAATCTCTGTTTATGTAGCTCAGTTTGTTCATCTGCAAAGTGGGACTAATAATAAAACTATCTTATAAGACTGTTAGGATGAGTCAATATAATATTTATAGATTATAAGGTTAGTCAGTAAATATTATACAAAATACTCACTAAGAGGACTTCTAAGTCAGGCATGTTGTACACACCTTCTCAGCACTAGGGAGTAAGAGGCAGGCAGATCTCTGTAAGTTCAAGGCCAGCTGGGTCTATATAGCAAGGCACAGGCTAACCATGGCTACATAGTGAGACCCTGTCTCAAAAAAAGGACTTCTAAAGTCACTACTATGCTAAAGGAAAAGAAAAATCTCAAAGCTAAAATACCCTTGAAATCTTCCAAAGAAAAGGAAATTCATTGGGTATGGTGGTAAATGGCTTTAATTCTAACACTTGAGAGGTAGAGGCAGAAGAACCATGAAGTTCAAGGTCATCTTTGGATACATTGCAAGTTCAAGGTTATCCTGGGCTATGTGAGACTGCCTCAAAAACCCTAAAAAGAAAAGAGTCACACTAAGTCAGGTACAGGACAGGAAAATTATTTCCACTAAGTACACAGATGTACACATCACATTCTATTTCAGGGACACAAGGGCAGATTGCTATAATACTAGAGAGAGAGCAGAGATACTGGAATCATCTAAGATTTTTTTCTAACCATGAGATAGAGGGAGTTTCTCAAAAAGCCTGGTCTACATAATGGATTCCAGGCCACCTGAGGCTACAGGGAGACCCTGTCTCAAAAAGACAAAAAAAAAAAAAAAAAAAAAAAACCGTAAAATAAAAATACAGGGGAACAAACAACCCATACCTGACAAACATTCTCCTTGAGTGCTGCTCCTCCACCCCGCTCACCCTGCAGTTTTTTGGATGCAGATATCCCAGAATCATGTTCTACACCATCTTCAAGAATCTCCTTGGGGCTGGCGGTAGTCCTGTGAATCATCAGTTCTCCCTTGCAGAGAAAAAATAAATGTCCCACATCTGTATTATTGATGTCTCCTCCATCTGACCCCCTCCTCCCTCTGGGCTGCTATTTGTCTAGTCATTAAGCACTTACAGATGTTCAGCCAATCACGCGAGCGGACTGCATGCAATGTTAGTTCTAACCCTGCTGTGATTGGGCGGGTAGTGGGCGCCTCATGCCCTGCCACTAACTGCTCTGAGGCTGTTCCACTGGAACTTTTTGAGCTGTTCCATTAAAAGGTTTCACTAAGGGAGAGAAAACATTCTTAAGTTTATTTGATTACGTATTTGTCCTTCCAAGATCCGTGTTTCCTAAATAATGCCTCCCTTCGGCATTCTATTCAAATTAGAAAGAAATCAGTCGGCATCATGGTATATGATGTTCACCTACCTGATTCTAATTCTATTTTAACTTGAATTCAAAAGCCAGAGATAGCATCAATGATTGCACTGATGCTCTGCAAAGAAATGGTTTTAAAGCTTTGTTTCTCAAATTGATGCTGATAAATACTCCAACGTAAGCAACAGGTGGTCAAGAAATAAGCATATGAATTTTTTCCCCCTAATTGCAGCTGTCTGAGCTAAGTTAATTCAGATAATATGGTTACTTATCCTATAGTCTCTGGGTTTAGAACAAGTTTAATTAATAAGTTAATGCTTACATATATTTCACCTGCTATCTACAGCGCAGGATGTGATCCTTTTTTAAAGGGTCATATCTATAGTTGCAATATCTGCCTCCTTTTGCTGGGGTTGGGCTTTCCTAAGTCAAGATTCCTTATACCTATTAATCATTCCCATAAAACACTATTCTGAAACTCAAGGGAGAGGGATATGACTCCTAATGTGAAAAGCAGGTTCTGTTTGGAAGGTCCAAAGGTAAGGAACTGATAATACCTCTGCGCTTGGAGTATCTTTTGACGAGTCCTCATTTTTCACTTTTTTACACTGTACTTTGGCTGTAACATGTCTCTGTCGCTTTCGCTTCCTTGGTTTATCAAATATCTTGGAAGTGCCTACGACAGGGGGAAAAAAAAAAATGTTACCTAACAGCTATTCCTATTCACACACATATGCAACAACTTTTACACTAACATAAAAGATCTTCACAAAATTAAGGCAGATTAAAAAAACTTTGGTACTTCAAAAATTTACTTTAAAATTCAAAATTTTAAAATACATTTATAACAGAAATGTATAGATTTAAATAGCTAAAGTAATATTTGATTTTGTTAGAAACCATTATTTTAAGGCATACAGCTAAAAGCTACTTAAAAAAAATGTTTCGGGGCATGGTGGCGCACGCCTTTAATCCTAGCACTTGGGAAACAGAGGCAGGTGGATCCCTGTGAGTTCAAGGCCAGCCTGGTCTACATAGTGAGTTCCAGGACAGCTGGGGCTACAGGGAGACCCTGTCTCAAAAAGACCCCCCCCAAAAAAATTAAATAAAAAAGTTCTGTGGTTTTTTTTTCACAGGGTCTCATGGCATTACCCAGCTGCCCTGGAACTTGCTATGTTGACCAGGTTGGCCCTGATCTCAGAGAGATCTACCTGCCTCTGCCTCCTGAGGGCTGGGATTAAAGGTGTTTGCCCCCACAACTGGCTAAAAGCCACTCATTTTCACTAATCATAAAATATGGTTTCATTGTAACTTAATCACTTAGCAGAAGAGTCCCAGAAAGGGGAAAAAAAAAAAAATCACTTGACTATAAGTAGAAATGCTTCTCTTGTGCTCTATAAAATACTGATGTATTTTGGGTAATCCTTCATATTACAACTATTTCAACTGAAAATGTTTCGAAATAAACTATCTTCTAACCCAACGTATAAGAATGAAAGTTTTCTGTGAGGTGAAAAAAATATAACTGGTAGGGGACATTAGTTGGACCTCACATAAATTAAACAAATAAACATACAGATAGCTATGAAATAAAATGCCAGAGAAATGACTCAACACCAAGAAAGACACCTGCCTTCAGAAGAACCTGAGTTCAATCCCAGAGACCAACGTGGTAGGACAAAACCAACACTCACTAGGTATTCCCAGACCTACACACATATACACACAAATATATGTAAAAAAATTCATATGCACTATAACTATTATTAACATAATTTCAAGTAACTCATGGTAACACATTTTCTGTAATCCCAACATTTGGGAGGTAAAAGCAGGAAGATCAGGATTGCAAATCATCCTCAGCTACTTAGTGAGAGTGAGGACAGCCTGGGTTACATAAGCCTTAAAAAGTTACAGGGCTGGAGAATTGGCTCAGCAGTTAAGAACACTGGCTGTTCTCGGAGAAGAGCAGGGTTGAATCCCAGCACCCACATGGCAGCTAACAACTGTCCATAACTCCAGTTCCAGGGACTCCACAGGCAGCACGACATGGGTGTACTTGTGTACATGCAGGCAATACACTCATACACATTAAAAAACATAAATAATATAGTTTAAAAAAAACAAAAAAAAACCAAAAACCAGTTACTACATTTTATGAAGGAATGATACTTTGTATAGTTTTTCAAAGAATTTTAATACCCTGTACAAGTAGAGGAAATGCAATGACCTGGCAGGAGATTCTAGTCCCTGATTACAAGATTAAAGAAAACTAATTATACATTACTATTATGTTTACAAGTTAAAATGAGGCTGGGCATGGTAGCACACACTTAATTCCAGCACATAAAAGGCATTGGCAGATGGATCTCTGTGCATTCCAAGCCAGCCTGGTCTACATAGTGAGTTCTAGGCTAGCTAGGGATATGTAGTGATACCCTGGTCTCAAAAATAAATAAAAATTTTAAAAAGAATGAGTTAAGATGTGGGCCAGGGGAGTATTTTGGGTGGTAAAATGCCTGCCTTGCAAATGAGGATCTGCGTTCAAGTGCTAGAACTCACATAAAAAAATACTAGGTATATAGCTGGGCTTGGTGGCACATGCCTTTAATCCCAGCACTCAGGAGGCAAAGGCAGGTGGATCTCGTGACTTCAAGGCTCGCCTAGTCTACATAGCAAGCTCCAGGCCACAGGGGGCTACAGAAAGAACCTGTCTCAAGAAGACCAAAACAACAACAAAAAAGTGAGGTATGAAGGCATGCAGCAGTAATCCTAGGGCTGAGAAGGCAGAGACAAAGGAATCCCTGAGGCTCACTGTCCAGGTAGCCTAAACTACTAGGTAAGGTCTAGGCCAGAAAGAGAGCATATCTCACAAAGGAACACGAATATACACACACACACAGAATTAAGATGGGAGCAATGAATGACAATTTACACATGTAACCCCAGCACTCAAAGAAGCTAAGGCAGGAAGATTACTGAGTTTGCAGCCAGCCTTGACTACATAGTGAGTTCCAGACCAACCTAGACTATAGTGTAAAACCCTGTCATAAACAAAACTTACAAAAACAAAAAGAATTATGAGGAAAATAGGTTAGATCTGGTTCAAGAGGATAGAAAGAGATGTCCTGAATACATTTTGTAACAAATTAGGATCATCAGTAGGTGAGAGTATACCCTTCAACAATAATCAATGTACAATCTCATCTGGCAAATTTTGGGGGAAAAAATTCCTCATTTAAATCCTTTGTTATAGAAACACCAAGTGCAACATAAAGATGTATTTCATAAAATGTTCCATGATATTTACCAAATAGGGTACGAAGCCCCAGCTCATGAGATCACTTTTCTAACAGTAACTCAACAGACACTTAATGGGTCTTACATGTAAGGGCCCTTTACATTGTATGGTCACAAAACCTAAGTGCATGAAATTTAGGGGTATTGCCTGAATTTACTATTGTTCCTGTCAATGCAATTCCAACATAGCATTTTGCAGCAGTGGCCACTGGTATCTTGTTCAATTTTATCTCAAAGTACTATCTATATATACCTCATGAATGTTTGATATATGTTAAATGTTTTCTTTGACACTAAGTAATGATGAAAATATATAAACAATAGAATTATGTCTTGTAATTGGCCCCAAAACTGTCTTAGGAAGCAAGGTCTTATGTTTAGTTTTAGCCTTGCCTTCTCTGCTAGTTCTTGTCAAAGCCTAACTCATTGGGGAAACAACTGCCCCTACTACCCCAGGCTTACCCAGGGACACATCTCCCTGGATCAGTCAGGGCTCCAAGGACTTCTGAGGGGTCATCTGGAATCCCAAAAGACAGTTTAGAGCCCTGAATGGTGCTATATTCAGAGCATATAGCTTGCTTTCAACACTTTGGTAGAGTGTTTCCACTATTTCATTATTTTTAATTTATTTTTATTTTTATCTTCATCTTTTTTTGAGACAGGGTCTCCACGTAGCCCCAGCTGGCCTGGAACTCACAGAGCTCCACCTGCCTCTGCCTCTGCTTCCAGAGTGCTGAACCGCTGAGTCATCTTTCCAGCCCCTATTTTCAGTTTTTAAAAAAGTTTTATTTTATTATTATTGAATTTGTATGTGTGTGCTGTGTATGCAGGTACCCAAAGAGGCCAGAAGGGAGTGTCAGATTCCGTGGAGTTGAAGTTACAGGTGTTGGTGAGGTGCCCTATGTACAGGCTGGGATCTTCTAACAGAACAGTTAAGTGCTCTTAACTGCTGAGCCATCTCTACAGCTCCTGTCTTTGCTGTTTTAAGTAACCCCACCCCCCATGCCCCCATTTTGAAGTGCTCAGACACAGGGGCTGGAGAGATGAAAAGGAGAAAAAGTCCCATAATCTTTAAAAACCCATTTTAATTAGTATTTTATACTGCTATACAATTTATAAAATGTAATTGAAATTGTGGCCAGCTTTTTTTCTTGAAAGCATCTTTCAAATCTGTTATACATAGTATTCCATTTATTTAGTCAAACCTACTAGAACCATTTTAGATTGTTTTCAATTATTATTACATTTGTTATCTTTGTCTTTATGTCATTACAACAGTTTTCCTGTGTTCTGGAACATGGTCTCACTCTGCAGTCCAGGCTGAATTTGAACACATGACAGTCCTTCTGCTGCATCTTCTAGAATGTTGAAATGAAAGGCATGTGCTACCAGACCATGTTCTACCAGGGCTTCATGCATACTAGGCAAATATTCTGCCAAATGAACTGTATCTATGGTTCCTAAATATAACATCTTTTTTTTAAAGGTTTATTATTTTATGTGTATGAGCGTTTTGCCTGCATATATGTAGTATGTATACCACATTATGTACGAGTGCCGGTGGAGGCCAGAAGAGGGAGTAGGAACCCCTGAAACTGGAGTTATACAAGATTTGTAAGCTGCCATGTGGGTGCTGGGAACTGAATCCATGTCTTCTGTAAGAACAGAAAGTGAGTGCTTTTAACTGTAGAGTCACCTCTCCTACTCCAAGAAGCAGCCTCTTGACCATGAGCTATCTCTCCAGCCCCTCTAAGTCTAGTATGTTAACAGACTAAGCAGGACTTCTATAGCACAGGTTTGCCCTTAAAGGAGAAGCACATGGTAAGGACACATGTGATGTGAGATAGATGAAACCTCGACCTACCTACTCAGGACTGCCCTTGGACAATGATCCCAGAAGTCTCTGATGTGAGTGTGATAAGTTCACTTGCTTTAATATTTACTTTACCTTGAGAGGAGAGAAGCTGAATGCATTTTGAAGAAAAATTCAGACTGTACATGACTGGCTAAGTCAGCCACAAAACATCTCCTGCACCCCATGAAGGAGTTCCTTCTTATTTTATTTTTAAAAATTATTTATTTAAAATAAATAAAAAATAAAAAATTATTTATTAATGTAGGAGCATTATGCCCACATGTAAGTGCACCTATGTCATACAATGCCTGTAGAGGCCAGAAGAGGGCACCTGATCCCTTAGAACTGGAGTTACAGATAGTTGTTCACTACCACGTGGGTGCTGAGATTTGAACCCAGGTCTTCTGCAAGAAGAGAAAGTGAGTGCTCTTAACTGCTGAGTCACCTCTCCTGCTTCAAGGAGTTCCTTTTCAAATACCCAAAGCCCACAGTTATTCTCAGTATGTAAAACAGCAGTGTTA